TAGCTCCTTCGTCTTCCGTTTTCTTGAGTGAATATCTATTCTCTTGTTTTCCTCTTTATTCTTAAGGAATTAGAGTCTCTCTTGTTTTCATTTTATTTTGTTTGTTTTTGTTTTTTATACGTTGGTCTTATTGTATAAATAGGTTTGTTGTTTTTTTGTTTTGTTTTGTTTTGTATTTCTTATATAAATACTTTGATGACGAATTATTAGATAAATTCGATTTGTTTTCTTGTTTCTGTTTTATTGTTTCGCTTATTGCGTAAATAAAGATAGAAATATTTTCTTTGTTTGTTTGTACCGCGTCACAAACCTGCCAGAAAGTCTTGACACTTTGAGGAAATCGTTATCAGTGACTGTCAAGCGAATAGTCGATAAGGAAAGATAAGAGACGAACCATCATATCATCAATCTGTTTTCCGACGAGATAGACATGTTATTGACACGTATAATCTTGTCATTTCGAGGCACTTGTTATTGAAAATGATGTTGTTGACTGACTTAATAATATTATTACCGTTGGTATTGTTGTTGATATCAATGCGGCGGTGTTATTGACTTAGGAAACTCAATTACATGTTATATTAGCCTATCAGTAACCGAATTAAAGGCGGTAATGTAGTTGTATGAGAGGAAGTTAAGAAATGCATATTCAAACATTGTATAATACATTTTCGATCTTAGTGTCTTGAGCGTATAGAAAAGATGAAACGAGCGATAGATTTCTATTTTCTATGTCGTGACTATTCTATTTCTTGAAATATGGCTAGTATCAGGTGAAGATAAACGAGTCAGATCTCTGTCAACGACGAAATTTCATGTCACATTCTCTTGTTTATGATTCTTATTTTCTCAAGTACAGGATGAAAAAAATGAAGAGATAGATTTAAAAATCTATGGCCAAATTATCCTACTTTAGTTTTATTTACAGTATGCAGTTGAGTCGAAGAAAATCTGGAGTTTAGAATAGTTGCAAATTTATCAAGCAATTTCCCTATCAGTTTTGTAGATTAAAAACGGACGTCTCCATAGGACCAGATTCTATTCTTTAATGTTGTATGTCGATTGTGTGCGTCATTTCTGAGGCCCTCTGACAGCGACAAATTGAGCAACATAGGTGTTAACTTTTTTATTCCCCTATGGTGCAATATTCCTATCTACTTATCCGGCTCGCACTGAACAGATGCAACAAGTGACAGATACGTGTCGATCATTTCCTACTATGAAGCGAGAATCAGGGCTTCCAATGACGTATGTTCGTATTTTTCATTTTACTCGAATTCAAAGACGAGATGTAAGTGAGATTCATACAGTTTGCTCCGGCGTGACCTTTGTCCTTCTTCTCTGTGATCGATTATTTTCTCTCTCTCTGGCATAGGCATGCTATTTCTTACGTTAATCTGTTCCCATCCTTTATGCATTCTCTCACTTTCTCGCTTTCTTACACTNCGGGGACGGAGTTGAGGGGGTTGGGGAGATTTAGGAATTTCCTGTTTGTATAGTGAGGGGGACGTTAGAATTTTTATTATTAGTATTATGATTTGGTCGTATGTGTTATGCTTTTTTTTATTCATTTTTGTCAATTGCATTTGGTTTGTCGTTTTGCGTTTTGTTGTTTATTGATTTAATTACATATTAGTGGAAAAAGAAATCTAGGGAATGATTGTATGATATTTTTTGTAATGCTGAATTATTTTTTCAGTATTTTAAAATTCAATCAATATTACATATTTGTTTTTTCTATGCAAAGGAGTGATAAAGAAAAAGCATCCCTAGATTTTTTTCTTTTTACTTGTGACTGATTCCTTTCGGAGTTAATTGATTATAAAAGAGGTGCTTGTATTTATTACCCTCCATCCCACAGTAATGGACCTACCTCATTTCGTAATGGTATTATTCCCTTCTCTTTTTTTATTGCATTAATTTTTTCCCGAGTCTTGAAATTCTCAACTTTCGAATGCCCTAAATCGAAAGACATAAAGATGGAAGAGATATAAAGGGATATATTTTTTGCTGAATCCGGACGAGTGCATGCGAAGGGGCAGCCAACGTCAAGGCCAGACTTCACGCCAGTCTGAAGCCGCCACTAGTTTATGACTAATTTCGCGTTTTATGGTATTTATGCAGATGAAGGGTGTGGACAGCCTGGAATTTAATTACGGAAGAAAGAGTAGGATGAGAGAGAGGGGGGGAGGAGGGGGGAGAGAGAGAAGGAGGGAAGGAGGGGGAGAGAGAGGGAGACAAGGCAGGGAGTGAGGGAAGGAAAGAGAGGGAGGGGAGAGAGGGAGAGAGGGGGAGGCGGAGAGAGTGGATTCCTTCACACAGAGAATCCCAGACCGACAACCAAGGAAGGGAAATAATGAGAGACAGATAGACAGACACACACACACACAATCACACAGACAGACAGACGAACAGAGGGAAGAAAATAATACGTTCTTTCACACAGAGAATCCCAGGCCGATGAAAAAAATAAATGATAAATTAACACCAAGGCATTTTT